TGGTGAGAATGTTCTCGGTTGTGACCTGTCCCCCGAGGACATTGGTAGTTTTCCTCTCTAACTTACTCTGGACTGGGGGATGAACACTAAGGAGCTGACAGGTCAAATTTACACCTGGGAAGGGACTGGAGCTAGCATTCAGGGTCAGGAGTCATACAGGGGTCACGTTAGGGCTCGTGGTTTGGTCTGTAACAGACAGAGCTCACCAGGGTTAAGGTTTGGGTTCAGTTAGAGATAAGGCTGAGGTCTGCATGCAGTCAGGACCAGGGCTTTGTTCACTACATGAACCAGGAGTATGGATTAGTATATATTATGGTTAGTGTTCAGACTCCAAGACCAGAGTCAAGTGTAAGTTTATAGCCAGAACTAATTCTCAGTCTGTGAACATCAGGTCTTACCTGTAACCTCGTCCTGTCTGAGACCAGAGTTGTGGTCTCCATTCTGACTAAGATCAGGGCTTAGCTGGGTACAAGGGCCAGGACTGAACGTACGACCAGATCAGAAGTCTGTGAGAGGGCTGAGTCTGAGGTCAAACTCTGCCTTAGCTTCTAACTAGGAGGAAACCTGAAACCAGGGTCAGTCAATGTATATAACTCAGGTGTGGGAGGGATGAAGGTTCAGTTTGAAGCAGGATCAGGGCTCAGCCTACATTTGTTTACAAACTCTTCTTAAGCACACAACAGAGTAAGCAGGGCTTCAGAAACACTTAACCAACTCCCAAAATGTGGACCCTGCAGTCAGCTACCACTTCCTTCTGTTTCTCACACCGGCTTCTCCAGGGAGCCACCTCTGGAGAAGCCCAGCCTCCTGCAGGGAGACTCCTGACTCCAGGATGGTTAAGGAAGAATCTGTGGGAAGAGGGATGGCGTGGGTGCCCAGCACCCCCCCCCCCAAGGTTCTGCAGCCCCCTTGGAGTGGTCATGTTGACAGGAGACTTAATGAGACCCAGAGGGAGGTGCTCTCACAGGGCCACCTGGAAGGAAGCCCGGCTTGGGAATTAAATTAAATGCTGGTGTATGTCCCAACAAGCAGAAAGGCGTGAGCCCGGGCCAGGGCCCAGTCACGGCGGGAGTTTGCCATAATTACAGGGCAAAATAGGTTTCGGAACTTACGTAACTCCACTAAGTGGGCCCTGAGGGTTAGGCCGAGCCACTCTCCCCCAGAAAACACTTGCACCGTGAGGTTGCACCTGTAAGCCACGGTCACTTCTTCAGGTGATAGGGTGGGAATGGGCACAGAGAGAGAACTTGGTTCTTGTCCCTATCTTGTAGAGAAGGCAAACTGAGAGTCAATAAGCAAAGGGCGCTTGTTGACAAGCACCAGGCTCCGGGCTCCAGTCCTATCTCAAACTATGGGAAGAGGGGCAGTACCCCCCACACCCCAGTGAGGACTATCTGGGCTAGGGAGGGAACCCGCATAGGAAGAAGCCTACATAAAATGCTGGCTGGACCAGACACATCAGGGGAAAGGAGGGTTCCCACGCGGAGTACTTGTGCAGGGTCAGGAGGCAAGGGACCGGGGTAAAGGCTCACCACTGGGGCACCAGGAAAAGGCCTCTGCAGCTCGGCTCCATTCCATCCTCACAGTACCTTCAGGATCTTTCAGGTGGGGAAACAGAGGCTCTGGGAACTGCAGTCACCCACCCAAAGCAACAGCCCAGATGTGGCGGCACTAGGGTTAGACCCTAGGCTGCTGGCCTCTGAATGGCTCTGTCAGCACTTTGCTTCCTGCCTCATAAAAACAAATAAACAAACAAACAAACAAAAGCAACCTACTGCCGGGCGGTGGTGGCGCACATCTTTAGTCCCAGCACTTGGGAGGCAGAGGCAGGAGGATCTCTGTGAGTTCGAGGCCAGCCTGGTCTACAAAGCAAGTTCCAGAACAGCCAGAACTGTTACACAGAGAAACCCTGACTCAAAAAACCAAACCAAACCAAACCAGAACACCTGCTGTGTGCCTCACACTGAGCCAGATGCTCTGCATTTCTCAGAACATTTGACAAGACAACAATCAAGGTAAGCAATAGAAGACTATCACCTCTCACCCCACCTCACAGATCGGGGAACTGAGGCAGAGAGTAGCAATGTAATCTTCTAATGAGTTCTCTATATTCTTCCCTCCCCCAGCTCTTTTTAGGTAGGGTCCCATGTGGCCAAGGCTGGCCTCAAATTTGCTGTGTGACCAAGATAACCTTGAACATCTGAGTCTTCTGTCTCTACTTCCCAAGAACTGGGATTATTGGCGTACCTGGCTTAGGTGGTACTGGGAGTGGAACAGTCTAGTATGTAACTGAGCCATATCCCCAGCCCTGGCATATGCCTGCAGACTCGGGGGCTTGGGATGTGGAAGCAGGAGGATCAGGAGTTCAAGGTCATTCTTAGCTACATAGAGTTGGAGTCCAAGGACAGCCTGGGCTACACGAGATGAGTCTTGAAAAAATCAACATCAGGGACACACACACACCCACATACACACACACACATACACACACACACACACACACACACACACACACACACACAAAGAGATTGCAAAAACGAAGAGCCAGGGATGTCAGGGACATACACACACCCACATACACACACACACACACACACACACACACACACACACACACACACACACACACACAAAGAGATTGCAAAAACGAAGAGCCAGGGATGTCAGATGGCACATGCCTTTAATTCCAGCTCTTGGGAAGCATAGGCAGTCGGCAGATCTCCGTGAGTTTGAGGCCAGCCTAGTCTACACAATGAGATCAGGTTACCCAAAAGAAGGAGAGTTGGGAGGAGGAGAAGGGGAGTGAGCTAGGGGATGGCTGGCAGACAGTGAGAAAGAAGCACTCAGTGTCACTAACCAGGGCCTGCGGATCAGCACCACAGGCTCGGCTTCCCACCTTGTCCTGCCAACACTTCCTGCACATTAAAATCATACTCAATTTCGCACAGTGCTGAGGATTGAATCCCTGGTTTCATGAATGCTAGGCAAGCTCACTGCCCACTGAGCCGTGTCCCCAGCCTGCGTGGAAGATCTTCTGTGTCCTTGTTCCTCACACCATTTCTTTTGTCTGGATTCAAACCAAGTGGATTTTGATATTAATTTTAGATAGGTCTCACTACATAGCTTATGCTGTCCTGGAACTTACTTTGGTAGACTAGGCTGGCTTTGAACTCAGAGATTCACCTGCTTCTGCCTCCTGAGTGCTGGGATTAAAGGTGTGAGCTGCCACTGCCTGGTTCTTATTTGTTTTTCAGATATGCCCTTCTCTGCGTGAAGTTTTCATTCCCAATCCATGTCTTTTTAAAAGAAAGGGTTTATTTATGTATTTCATGTGTACATCCATGCACTTGAGTGTGTGTCTATGTATACATGTGCAGACGCTAATGAATGCCAGAAGAACGTGTTTGATCCCCTGGAACTGGAGTTCCTGGTGATTTATGAGTCACCAGATGTGGGTGCTGGAAACTGAACCCCAGTCTTCTGCAAAGGAGCAAGTGTAACTGCTGAGCTACCTCTCCAGTACCCCGATTAATAAACACAATGGCTTCTTTCCGAGTGTGGGTGGTTGTTGATGCTCTGGTTACTCCATGTTACTATAGCCAGGTCAGAGGCAGCTGGACAGGGAATGGGAAGCAGGCTTCCTGATGAGGGCTGAGAAGAGACACTCAAAGACCAGAGTGTAGGAATGTTCTCACCCCTGGCACATGGGTCACTCCGGGCCAAGTGTACGAAGGTTCCCTTCCCACAGTAACCAGCTGGCTGAGGATGAGGAAAGATAGCAGTGTGCCCAGCTGGTGCTCATGGGAAGGTCAGAGGGCAAGGTAGAGCAACTGCTTGCTTGGGCCAACCAAAGAGCACCAGGCCCAGGGCCCAGAAGCCAGCCACACCTACAGTCAGGAAGCCTGTGACACACTCCTTTCTGTGGCTTCCCAGGACCCAGGGATCCCCTCCCCTTCCACAGATCTCTGTTCTCCTGGAAGCAGCCCTGTGCAGTGACTGGCCCTGTCCCCTGACAATGGAAGCCACTTAGACTCACCGCTACCAGCCTTTGCAACAGTGGGACCCGGTGCCAGGAATGACCGTCCCACCCTTTCCCCAACAGAACCTTCTTCAGCCTTTGTTCAAAATGCCAAGTCCCCTTGGAGAATGTTTTTAAAGAATCTTGATGGCATTTGAGCTCTGTGGCTACAAATAGGATGTGACTCATTCCGAAGCCAAGGCTGGAGCTGGAACCCAGCCTGGGTCTCCACGTGTGAATGAATGAGAGAACAAGGATGTGGGGGAGGGCTGGGGGGAGGGCTGGGGGGAGGGCTGGGGGGAGGGGTGGTGAGGGTCATAAACCTCGCTAGCTCAGGAGGCCGTGCCCTTGCTGCCACATCTCTGCTGACACCCAGATGCCAGTCCCTAGATGGAAGTGGCCCCTGCACTGTCTCAGCCTCTTGCTCCAGAACTACGGAGGACCACATGCTCACCATCCCTAGGTGGGTCAGAGTGGAGCTCTCTGCCCTACATGAGGAGACATCCTGGCTGGAGACACACTTGTGACCTCCAGTCTGGGGACACAAAAAACAACAGTATGTGCTGCGGGGCTCAAGCACAAAGTCCCCAGCCTTACATACTTCCGTCCCAAGACTTGGACTCCTGAATTTGCTGTGTCACCCCAGTAGGAGTCATCAGGCTCGTGTCTGCTTCCCTTACACAGCTACATGAACCGGTCCATGAGGGACTGGCTCCCTCACAGCCGTTGCCCTGTCAGCCTAGGACACACTAGCTCTTTCCTACCTCAGGGCCTTTGCACTGCCTCTTCCCTCTTCATAGAATGCGGCCATCCTAGGTGTTGACTCCTCTTCTTTGTGTCTCAGCTCAAACTCACCTCCTACAGGCCTTTCCTGACCACCCCAGACATGGGGACAAGTCCAGATGAGTGTCCCTTTGTAGCTGCCCTGGCAGAAATGAAGATGCTCTAAAGAGACACTTGTGTTTCTCTCTCTGACTCTCAGGCTATTGAAACAATGGACATCCCCCAAATGGGAATTTCCCCGGGAATCGGAAGAAAAAGGTGCCAGCTAGAGGGGAACTTGTCTCCTCGAAAGAGATTTCCCACAGCCCTAACAGCTTGCCAGACGTCTCACAGGATGAGACTGAAGCCCAGACAGTGACGGGTCAGTGGTGGACAGGAGCACACCTTGAGCAGGACGTCCTTGGCCTCCATTTAAACTTCGTTGTTGCTTCAGGACCCTGAAGACAGACTTAGGTCTCTGGATCTCTCTGTCCCTCTTCCCAATGTGGACAAGCTGAATAAATCTCCTTCTATGCTTTCCACGATTAATTTGGCTCTTTTAATTGGCTTATTAAGGACGGGTGGCTGAACCCCGCTTGGGCCACAGGCTGTGACCTCCAAATTCAATGTCACCTTCACTACTCACGGTGGCTTGGGAAGGGGACATCTGCCCACTGTCTGGCTCAGAGTAACACATTCTGACTGTGTGGGAGAAGGCCAGGCATTGTGCTGCGGGTTTTGGGCTCTCCATCTGCTGGCTTCTGGTTCTCACCACAGTGCAACCTGATGTGGAGTGATGACCTTGAAAAGATGGCACCTCAAGCCTGATTTTGCAGTAGAAGAAACTGGGGCTCAGCATTGTGAGTGACTTGTCCCCAAACAAAACCTTATTGGGAGTTGCCTCTGGAGGAAGGAGATGTTGGAGGAAGAAGACAGCCTGGGAGTGTTCTCCAGAAAAACCTGTGTACCCTCCAAATTCACTTGCCCTTGCTTGGCTTGAAAATCACTAATCTGAACTATGTGTGATGGCCCACACCCATAATCCTGCGCTCAGGAGGCTGAGGCAGATTGCCAACTGGGCTATAGAGTGAAATTTTTGTCTCAAAACAAGAAACAAAAAATAAAAAATAAGCCGGGTGTGGTGGTGCACTCTCTTAATCCCAGCGCTCAGGAGGCAGAAGCTGGTGGATCTCTGAGTTCAAGGCTGGCCTGGTCTACAGAGTAAGTTCCAGGACAGCCAGGACTACACAGAGAAACCCTGTCTCGAAAAACCAAAGGGTGTGTGTGTGTGTGTGTGTGTGTGTGTGTGTGTGTGTGTGTGTGAGTATTTCCTGCTCTTGCAGAGGACACAGGTTTGGTTCTTAGAATCCCACATGGTGGCTCACAGGCGCCTATAACCCCAGTTTCAGGAGATTTGATGGCCTCTCTGAATTCTGTGAGGTCCTACTCACATGTGGTGTACATATATACACTCAGGCACACACACACACACACACACACACACACACACACACACACACACACACACTTTTAAAAGGTGGGGGGCGGGCAAGAAGGCTCAGTGTTTAAGAGCTTGCATTGTTCTTCCAGATTCAGTTCCAGCACCAACGTCAGGAGGTTCACAGCCTTCTGTACCTCCAGCTCCAGGAGATCCAGTGCCCTCTTCTGGACTTCATGGGCACCTGCACTCATGTGCACTCACACTTGCACATACCCACACACAGATATACACATACAAGCATAATGAAAAGTAATATGAATCCTTTATAAAAGAAAATAATTAAGTAAATACATATTAAAATAAAAATTAGTCAACCAACCAATCACTCACTCAATCACTGATCTGAAGCGCCCACTGCACCCAGCTGGGCGGGACTTTAGTTTCCCCCGTTGGCTTTTCTGCCATGGGTTTTACGGTAACGGTTGCCTAGGCCTGACAATACTGGCTCTTCCCTCAGGCCTGCAGACACCCTGGGAAACTGCAGTGGGGTGATGGGGCTTATCCTTGCTGTCTTGATTTCAGGTCTGGTCCTTTGGAGTCAGCTTCTACTCAGTTTTGCATATAGGCATGCAGAGCTTTTGAGAATGTCTAGTATGGAATTTTAAGGCTGGATCCACATGACTCGGCCTCGCCTAGTCTCAGTCTCCTTCAAGGCTTAATAATGATGCCTATCAGCCTTCATTGTGGGAAACCCCAGACCACAGCAGGATGGAACAGGGGTGGCACTCGGGTTCCTGGAAGACCCCAGCCTGTTCCCAGAAAATCCTTAAGTATTCCTTCTGGATTCTAAGCCCTTCTCTCTCGCTCATGGTTTCTTCCTGTAGAGATAAGGCAGCCTTCCAGCCCCTGGAGGGGGAGGCTGATTTGTGAGCATAACTCTATCCTCTCCGTTCTTTGGCCAGCGAAGCCTTTCTTTGTCCCCCAACCTCCCCCTATGTGTCAGTGGGATCAGCTTCCGAACCTGGATTTGATATTAGAGCTGGGTGCCCGCTCCTCCACCCTCAAGCTGGAGAGCAGAGATGGGGCTAAGTCTCAGGCTCGCACAGCCCCAGGCTCCCGACACAGTGGGTTCTTTCTTAGTGTCTTAGAAAGAATTCAGTAAGAAAACACCAACCGTCACCCGTGACTCAGACTCAGCCCTGCTCGAGGGGCTTTGGGAGGGACGGGCGGGCCAGGGGGGGAGGAGCCCAGGCTCTAGTTTTGTTTTTCTTTGTTTTTGGCAGTGCAGGGATAGAACCCAGGGCCCAGTGCATGCTGGGCAAATACACCCCACACTGAGCTGCACCCCAGCCCCAAGCCAGGCAGTATGGGGCCAGGTTAGCCCGGAGGTGCTCCCTCCAGGCAAGCCTGTGGTTTAAGGGCATTGGAAGGCTGATTCTAGCTGGGTTCTTGGCTCTGAGAAGAAATCTGCTCAGCAGCCTTGGTGTATGGGGGGGGAGGGGGAGGTAGGGGAAGTCCTATTGGGGGTACTCAGAGTGTCATGCCTCCATCAATCTTCCCAATAGCCCAGTTTTCTTTTCTTTTGGTTTTTCCAGACAGGATTCCTCTGTGTAACAGCCTTGGCTGTCCTGGAACTCGCTCTGTAGACCAGGTTGGCCTTTAACTCACAGGGATCCACCTGTCTCTAGTAGCCCATTTTACTAACCAGAGTGCAAGGTCCAGGGAGCTCACTTGGTCAACTGCGTCTTAACCCTTTCAAAAGTCAGATGTGGTGGGCCATGAGTCTGATTCCAGCACTAGGGAAGTGGAGGCAGGAGGATTACAAGTTGAAGGTCATTCTCAGATACACAGTAAATTAGAGGCCAGCCTGGGCTGCATGAGACGGTGACTCAAAAACAAACAAACAAACAAACAAACAAACAAACAAACAAACAAACAAACCAAGCAACCTAGCAAATAAATAGATAAGAGCCTGGGCCAGCCCAGAGCTGGCTCAATCTGAGACTACTGAATGAAGAATGGACACTAAACTAGGTAAGGAGACGCGCCCACTAGGTGGCCAGAGTCCTGTGCTGTACCCCCAGGTCTCCTGTGGGGTTTCATGAAGACAGGAGCACTGTCTCCAGCCCAGAGCTAAGTCTAGACCAGACAAGGAAAGAGGGGGAAGGTGGACTTCAGACTTGCCTATGGGCTGGAGTGCCAGCCTAAGACTTCCGAGGGAACTCACTAATCCCACAGGGCACGGCTCGGCTGTCACGTGGTGTTTAATCGCCTCATTCTAACCCCAGCCAGGGAAAGGGATTAAGCTTGATGGAGCAGGGCCAGGGCAGGCCCCACAGTGCTCTGCCCTCCCTCCCTCCCCCCAGCTGGCTGTTCCCACCAGCCAACTACAGGGTCCCTGCCTGTCTCCTCCTGGCACACATGCAGCCCCAGCACAGATGTGGCTATCCCAATGCTAATGACCCCTTCCCTGAGCCCAGTGCCGTCCAGGACACAGAACACTTAGCTGGGCACTCAGGGCTCTTGGCAATCTGACTTGAACTCAGTATCCCTTCCTCCATTTTCTTCAGCACCTCACATGAGCCCTTTGATGGAGTACTTTCTTCAGACACATCTTCATACTTCCCTGGGATCTCCAAGGGACAAGACAGTCACCTTTACTTCCCTGGACTGGCCATTGTATTAATAATTCTTTTCACAAAAATTCCATTCTATAATACTTTGATGACACCTCAAATCTGATGTTTGGGGGACAGCAGTAGTGACTTTAAAGAAAACAAAGAAATTCACAAGCCAAGATGAAGATCTCCCCTCTGAGGGTCGTGAACTGGAAAGAGTGACCCAGGTTGTACAATCCCAGAGGCTTCCTGGAGGAGGTGAGAGCTGAGCAAGATTGCATGATGTTCCAAACAGAGAGAGCAGCACGGGAGAGGCCACCAAGTGGGAGGCAGCAGGACAGGGCCAAATCGTGATAGTTTCTGGGTTTGTTTTTTTGTTTGTTTTTCCTTTTCTTTTCAGGTACAATCTCACTGTGTGGCCCAGGAGGGCCTGGAACTCACTCTGTAGACCAGGCTGGAATTCACAGAGATCCACCCGCCCCTTCCTCCTGAGTGCTGGGATTAAAGGTGCGCACCACCACTGTAGTAGTTTAACAGAGGAAGGCAGCCTTGGCAGGTCGGAGCCAAAGGGTACCACAAAGCCACGCCATGCAACAGAGCTCCGGTGGGAGATTTATTGGTGGTGGGGTGCCGCAGAGGTGGCCTCTGAGAAAGAGCGGAAAAAAGAGAGATTGGGCGAGAAGGGCTTGCTTTTTCTAAGGGGCTATAGCACATGCGCACAGGGAGAGTGCTCTACTCAGTGGCTACAGTAGTCACAGTGTCACATCTTGGCTGCTGCTGATGACATGTCCTGCTAGGTCCCCAAGGGCAGGCCAGTGTAATTGCCTGAATGCCAACAACCATTCCTGGCTCTTTCTTTTCCCTCCTGCTTGCAAATGGGGATCAAGTCTCCCTGTTTACTCTGGCCTGGGGAAGGTCTTTGTATCTCCACAGTAGATGATAGCATACCTTCCCTCCCCACAGCTCTCCTCTGCCCAGCCATACTGCCTGTCACAGACTCTTCAACATACCCATCTCCATCCAGGGCAGTTTTATGATCCTCAGGGCCTGGTGCTGAAGAAAAGCAGGGCTTTGTGGAAGGCGGAATTGATACTGCGTGGAAAGCAGTGTGGCTCCGTGGGCAGAGTCTGTGTGCGTGATCTCTCTGGTGCCTGGCGATAGTTTTGGTTTTGACCCTTCATTTGTAAGTGATGGACCATGGGCCAGGAGAGCATGCCTGGGTACTTGGAGTCTTTTCTGTGCCCTGGCATCCCAGCTCTCCACCAAGTGACCTCTGCTGCCTTCTGCCAGGGGCCTGGGCTGATAGTTAGAAGCCTGGGAAAGAGGAGATGGGGCTTGCCCTTGCCTCAAGCTCGTAGCTATGAAAACATTTTGGGAGGGTTACCCTGGCAAGGGCCAAGGATCCTAGTTTGAGTGCCTTGCCGGGATAGCAAGTCTGCCATCTTGTCTTGGGTCATCTAGATGTGGCAGGTTGGCAAG